AGATCTCTTGCTGCTCATCCTCTTTTAATGTTTCTAGAGAGCAAACAGGTCTTATCATTATTCTTCACTTAACTAGCTAAAAAAAATTAAAGCTCTTTCACAGTCATCTCTGGTATAACTGATTCTCCTTTTGTCTCATCCTTCTAATTGCCATCTTTTGTACCTGTAGTCACTTGAGTTAATCTTTCCTCATGAGGGTGACCAAGTATTACAATATTTAAGGGAAAATCTCAACAGTGTCTTAGTGCTCCCACTTCCCTATTCTTATGTTATATCCAAGAACCCCACATGTACTGTAGCCATGTACCCAGACAAGACTGTTGGGTCTTTTGCCCTAAGTTCTGTGTAAGCTCAGTAAAAGCTTGACAGGTTTTACCTTGATTTTTAAGAGCCATCTCTGAATATTCAACTAAATTAGTCTATTACCTCACTCACTTGGCATATCATGGAAAAGATGGAGATTTCCCAAGGTTCTGTAAGCAGATGGGCATCTTTTTGGAGACCTTTCTCCCTCTTTACTTTCTAGAGTACAAGTGTTTCATCCTCTCTTTTAATGAAAAATTGTTTTTCTTTGAGTTCTCTCCCTCCCTCACTCCTGAAAGGATTTTTGAACAGTGAGCTATCAGCAACTTGTTTTTTTATCTGTTGTTAAATTTATTCCTTTCCAAGTACATACACTCCTGATCCCACGTGGTAATTATAATTAACTGTATATGAGAAATAACAGAAAACTGAAAACCTAAATTTACATCAAAGTTTTGAGAAAGAAAATAAACCAGAGGAAAAAAAAAAAAAGGTTTTATGAAGTACATGCATTTCCCCTGAACTCTGTAAATAATGCACTAAAGCTACAAGTTGCTGGAAAGATGTAATGTCTTGCATGGCTTTGCTATTTGAGAAACACTGCTCACATTCTCACTTTAACAACTTAAACTTTCAGAATTACTGTAGGTAGCTTTGGATGAGATGACCTCCTGAGAATCTTTCCAATTTGAATCACCACACAAACTGTTTTTATTTTCCCCTCATTTACATACTGTTAAATTCCATTCTTCCTGCATTTTTACTTATCATCTCACTTGCTGATTAACTATTCAGGAATGAATCCTGTGAAATCACAAGATTTTCATTAGTTGTAACTTTCCCCATCCTGGCAATCAGCTTTGCCAGATTAATGACATGTTACTTCAAGAAATATAAACTTTTTGAGCACTTCAGTCAGAACAGATTTTTCCCCTAACTTGAATGTTTGCCACATTTCCCCACCCAAGCTTCCCACCTCTGCCCTCCCATGGAAAACACAAATGCTCTATGTAAGTGGATAATAAAGCTCTGACACTAGGAAACTAATTCAGTCCAAATCTGCAACAGTATCAGCTCTTTTCCTGCAGACTTGTGATAAGTATTACATTAATTTTTGTGCAAAGTTTCCATTATAGCGATATTTTGTTTTTCCAATGTCATTTTAAAGATTTGTTGAGCAAACGGAGCACAGCAAAATAACACCTTTAAGACTATTGCCCATAACTCTAAGCACAAAACAGCTTTCAAGACTGAATGACAGTCCCCACTTGTTACCTCCTATATAGCCACACTATGACAATCCACACTCTGAACAGCATGCACTCTAAAAAGATAAATCTACAAAGGTGAGCAGAAGGATGAGACATGCCAAGAGATAAAGTTCAATAAGATATCTGGTCAAATGCAAAGACAGTGTAATCCCAGAGTACTGACTGAGCCGCTGGACAACATAATCTTTCATTTTAAAATCTGGCAGCATGAGCTGACACTAAGGCTTTAGGTGTCTGAACTTCTATCTGTTCTGCATTCTCAAAAGCAGCTCCAGCAAGCCAGTCTGACACTCAATCCAGTTTTAAAGAAGCTGATGAGTGAGTATTTACAAAAGCATTGTTTAAACTTCTTGTGGAACAACCATGTTGCAGATTTACCATTCTTAAAGGAATATAGGTATTTAGGATGGTTTTTACAAGGAGGTACACTTACACAAAAGTTATATATTTGCATTTTGGCACAACCTCCCACTCTTGACAGTGTTTCAACAGCCTTCTCACCTTATAAATCAGAACAACAGAAAACGACCAAACAGGCTGTTTGCAAACAAACCTTGGATTTGAACTTCATGATCTTGTACTTTGGTGAAATGCTGTCATTAAATTCCTTGAAAACACTCATTATAGTCACTGGAGTCTCCGTCTCTTTACCAGTAGACAGGTCAATTTCCTCAAAAACAGAAGGGAGGTTTTACAAATTAACAAAAAATGCCAGCAGACATGACAATAAGCTGAATTTTACTTTCAATTATTATGAATCATACTTTTTTTGGGGCGGGGGGGGGGGGAAATAAAATGCAATCAGCCAAGAAATCCCAAATTTAGAAAATATTACTTGAAACAGAATGTTCAAAAAGCACTATGCTGTCTAGTAATACTTCACAACCACTTCTTTTGCAAAGCACAAAGTCTAAGGGTAAAAATGTGTTTGCAGTTATCAGTTCGGGTTTAGGGGAAGTCACAGGGCTCTACTCTGCCGCTCACATGTGATACATTGTGTACACATTGTTTTTACCTTTACCACCTACATCAGACAACACCGGCTTCCAACAGCTTCCATAAACACACTGCTAAACTCATAACCTGCCATAAGCAGAATGAAAGGTACTTACATCTGACGTGCTTAAAAGTCACACTTACTGTTTCACGTGGCAGCAGATAAACAGTTCTCTCAATATTTTTCACTGTCACACAACAGCTGACATAGGTGGTTGCAGATTCAATCCAAACTTTGCCAAACAAAAATACCACACCTAAGAGAGAAGGGCAAAGAATTCATTATAAAATTTTAAAGTTAATAATTTCTAATCTTGCTTGAAGCAGCTTATAATCTATTCTTGCATTGAAACACAACCATTTCTGTGTTAGGTCCTTGAACAACAAATCTTTCCAATGTATCAGCACATTCTAAATTGTTTTGAACACCAGCTTTACAAGCAGACACCTGTTATCATTCTTCATATCTCTACCTCCATTGCTATAGTAACACCTGGTATGTAAAATTCAAAATGGCATTTCAGAGCCAGTCTCAAAATTCTGTTCTGATATTCCATTGCTACCTATATTAGTTTGATAATCCCTGGAGAGAGGGAGGAAGGAGAGAGATGTCAGTGAAAGCTGAAGATTATCAGAATGTCTATGCTGTCAATCAATCCTCTAACATGTGTTATCTACAGTATTTCACTCTTTAGCTAGACCAGTACAATTAACTCCTTTCCCCTACACTTCAGTACCATGAGAACAAGACTCTATTCAATAAAGCCTGTAGAAATACACCCTGAAGACAACAATTAGAACCTGATCAGCTTTCAGGTGACTATTTTTAACAAATGAGGACACCAAAAGGTGCACGACATTCCTAGGAATCCTGGGTGCCAAGACAGCAGTTGTAACCAAGGGAGACACTCAGAAAGATTATACAGAGCAGGACTAGTGGCAACTGACTGTCAACAATGTCATTACATTGACATTGAGCCCAGAGAACTTGGCAACAGCACAAAATGCTGCAAACTGATAATCAAATTATGTCAGACTTTAAGATAACATAGTACCAAGCCACCCGACTGCCAGTTTGCAAATTACAACCACAAGAAACTTCCAAGTACAACTCAGAAACCTGGATTTACCAGGTTCCCTTCCAACTCCTAATAATCTGACTGTCTCAGATTTTGGACGATTTTGGAATCTGCATTTCTCCTTGGCCTGGCAATGTACAAACAAGTCCTTGGTTAAGAACTATAATTTATCTTTCCAGGAGATCTATCAGACATAAAGGCACCTTTCTTACTCCATTAGATCAAAGATAAATCAGTGAAGATGTACTAAGATGGATGACAAAGTCAAAGTGACAGGCTATGAAAAATCATTTTCTGAGTGCTTGGAATAGATGTGAACAAGACTACTTTTGTCAAGGACAGAGAATGCTGCAGTTTTGAAGATGATGAGAGCAAGGATACAAGTTTCAGCTGCACAAAGTATCTTAAGAAATTTTAATACAGAGGCAATCTTGAAGATTTAGACAGTTTGAATAGAAGTATCGAGAAAAAGCTCCAATTGCAGATCTAAGTGACAGGGAATATGAAGTTCTTGTCCCCAGCAATCTTTTACTTTTTTGTTAGGGGATAAAAAAAAAAAAAACTCCTAAGATAGGTTTGTATCATATAGAAAGATGAAACTGTGAGACCACAAAACAGCAGCTGATTGCTTGAACAGCTGGAAATATTAAAGAGCATGGAGTAGTTAATCTGTCAGAGGAGTACATATAAGCAGAGGAGGTAGAAAGAAGGATAAATGAGCCAGTCAAAGATAGAGTAAAAAGCTGCCTGGATTGCAAAGACAAACTTCTATCAACTCTAGCACAGACAAATAAATGGTCTTAATAACCAGACTTCATAGAGTCAGATTAATTTAGAATGGAAGGAACCTTTTGAGATCATCCAGTTGAACACTGACACACACCACCACCCCCACAGACAATAAAAGCAGAACTAACTTCAAAGAGTTTTCAGAGACATTTCATGCAAAACCAAAAAAAAAAAAAAAATCAACTCAGAGATATTGGGCCCTATCCCCTGCAAGACTATGGAAAGAATAAAGAAAGAAAAAATACGAATAAAGCTTATAAATCGAAACCTGTGAAAAGAAAGAGCATGCTACTAAATGAACCAAAAGGTAAAGTCAAGACACAAGGAAAATGTCTTGCAGAGGGGAAAAAAATAAGGGCAAGTTTTATTCATTATTTCTTTAAAATGTTAATAGGATCACAATTCTCGAGTTCTCTGCCTAAGACCATAAAGGGAATTATGAAAAGAAAGCCTCCAAAAAATCATTAAGTTTGAAAGAGTCTTATGATTATGCTATAGTATTTACTCTTCAGGCAATGCATTTGACATCACAGCAAATGAGGCATAAACAAAGATCATGAACATGTTAAACAAAAAGCAATATCAAAATTTTCCCTTCTACATTACTAATTGAAAGCAGGTGCAGTCTTTATTATTCAATCCTGAAAAAGTCATAATGAGAAAAGAACACTCCTTGCATGCGAGGAACAGAAATCTTTTCATAATTATGTTCCATTCAGCAATCACCGACTTTAAAGGCCAAAAAAAAGAAAAATAACAATAGCGGGTTCTTTAAAAGTAGCAATTTTATATTAGAACCATTGATTTCATCAAGATATCTATGATTATTACCACTCCCATCACCAAGCTGTTCAGCCCAGCACAGTCTCATATTTAAGTTTGGCATCTCAACTCACAACAAAAGGTGTTAACAAAGAAATGTATCTGACTCAATGCTTACAGCTTCTACCGAAAAAATCCTCCAACAACATGTGAAAGAACCTTCTGGTAAACACACATGAAACACAAACTAGAAACCCAAGATCCTAAAGCTGCTGATGAAATGAGGGGATGGATGGGAAGTGCTCATAACAGATATAAACACAAACTGTTTTGTCAGAGCTGAGATCAGAATGATGCAGTTTGAAGACTATGAGAACTTTTAACTGCACAGAGTATCTTACCACTCTTAATTCAAAGAGAATCTTCAAGATTTAGACAGTCTGAATTAGGGGACAAGAATAGAAGACAGACCTCGTATTTTTCAGACCACCTTCCTCACTTGACAGACATATCTTTCCTTTGTGTAAAATCATGCAACTGCTATTGTACAGGCTCCTTATTCACTCACATGAATTTTGAGCTACTTTTCCAAAAACAAGAAAGCATGCTCAGTTGTTGCATCGCTGAGCAAGAAATTAACAACTTCAGCTTGCTCCAGGAGCATATAAAATGTTAAGAAGGACAACGGGTCACTAACACTGAACAGTGCCAGTAAGTCCCTTTTACTTCCCTACCTCTATACTAGACCAAGAGATGACATTCTTCTCCCAGCCACAGTGCCCTGCTCTGCAGACAGAGGTACAGAAAAATCAGAGATGAACATCTTAGAGCATAGAGACAAAGGGTAACTGGATGTAATTTAGTCAAGTCTGAAAACCCCAATTTTCAAAAAAGAAAATCTGAACAAAAATAATCAGATTAGCATTTTCCACCTTTAATTGAACAGTTACCTGGCTGACTGAACTGATCTTCATAAGCATCCAGCCAATAAAATCTTAAGACTTGATCACCACTTTCCCCATTCACAAGTGGAAGGAGATTGGGGTCCAGCTGAACTTCTGCTGCTAATAGATCAACTTCATCCTCATCAATTTGGTCCCAACACGAGAGACCTGGGAGAGAACAACTTCTGCAGATTTTGCAGAAGAATAAAGAAACAATTAAAATTATGCCTTTGCTATAATCACCACTTGGCTTTTTTTCCAGGCCTATATTCTCACACCTTTTGTTTTTCTTTCCACTACCAGGCAACATTCCCAAAAGCTGGGTTCCCTCAGGTTTCTTCTGAAAAGAGAGATGGAGTAACAAAGATCGAAACCCACATTTAAGTATGGTTCTTGATACACCACACACAGACTTTAAAAATTAGTCACCTGGTATTTCAGCCTTGGTCAATTCAAGTCTTTACCTATCAAATATATCCGTCCATCTATCAAGTTGCTTAGTGGGAACAATAGATTTTTTCAACAAAACTACCTTTTCAGTCATTAGATGTTTAGGTCTTTTTCATCATTCAATTATTCTATAGTTTGAAATATTTTGTTATGGGAACACAGGATTTAAGATTTTCTAAACAATTAAAAAAAAAAAAACAGGGAAAAGCCCACCTTTTTTCCTATTTCCAAGGACATAGCTGTTCACCATTACTTTCAGCAACAAAACTTTTACCTACATCTATCACAAAATACTTTCACATTCACTTGGAATAAGCATTGTTAGAAATTTCTTGGTTTTGCTTACTGACATCAAAATTCACTATTCAACATCTACACTGAATCACCTCAGTGTGCGGAAATACATATTGTCACATGCTAGATCCCAAAAACATCAACTACTTTTCAATTAAGTAGCTATCAGCACATCACTATTCCTAATGTAACTACAAAGAAAAAGCATTGCATAGCATTATTACCATTCCGCCTATATCACAATTACCCCTTTGACAAAGACAAATATGAAGCTAGATCTAAGGTTTATGGAAATTGAGAGCCTTCTTAGGGGAAGAAAAAAAAGAAAAAGACTCTTACAAGACAGATGTCTCCTTCTTCTCTGATTCCAGCTGCTCTGTCTCTTTCTTCTCAATGTCATTGTTTCTTTGCAAGCTTTCAGCTGTCTCAGGTATAGTTTCCACATGCTCTGCTTCCATAGGTTCATCAAAGTCCTCCTCATCAAAATGCATCATTCCCTGATCGTCATCTGGAAGTGCTGCAGGTAGAACTAAAGGTTTGAATCATTAAAATGGCACACTGCATACTCCAGCAATATGCACAGAGAGCACACTATAAGCATGACCATAAAATACAGTACTAAGATAGCTTAAACATGATACTTTGTTTCTAAGCTAGCATAATTTAACAAGTGTTTTAACACTACTATACCATATTTAAAGAGTTTCCAGAATTGAGTTTTGATTTACTTTTGATACCTTTAGTAGCTTTCTCTCCTAATGCCTTCACTATTCCCTCATTTTCTGTAGGTTTTTGCACATGCTTGGTGTCCTCATTTTCAGAGACTCTGACAGATTTTGCTGTATAATTGGGATGTTTAGGATGAAATGAAGCTGGAGGAAGAGTTTCCTTTCTGACATTAGCAGGAGATTTCTTTGATACAGGGGTGATTACCTGAAAAAAAATTTCCACGAGTTAAAAATAATCTTGTAAGAGCAAAGAAGAAAAAATAAACAACAAAACCTTTCACTTGCTATTTGCAGATTTAGTAGCCAGGGCTAGAGGAAAAGTTCCACATATTTTGCACCATGATCCTCTCTTACTACATTTCCCCTTTTCTTTAATTGCTTCTATTCTTCTTTAATAGCTGTTATGATGAGTAGCACTGGTGATTATTTTCAACGTAGGAGTTGATGTCACACAAGGTTTCACAAATCAGATGTATCTACACTACTCCATTTTCCTTCTACAGGAAGGAAACCATTATCAACTATCTCATTGTATTTTCAGCTATAAAGTCCTTTCCATCTATCAGAACTCCTAACAAAATGCTAGCCATCCATCCTTGGCAGCCCATCCTCCTTTCACTCCAAAATCTTCCACTAGGGCAAACTTCTATACATAGCTTCAATTTTCCATTGGTTTTCCATTTCTACAAACAACTGGTTTCTTATCCTTTTCCACATTCCTGCTTATTTCACCTCCCATCCTGCTCTCCTTGCTACAGGAGTCTTTTCTACTCTTTGGAATAGAGACAGAGCAGAAATTCTCCTTCATGCAGTTTCACCTATCAAATGTAACAGCTACAAATTCCTACTATACTACAGACACAAAACTAATTGTACTGTTTCTGTGTTCACATGAAAGGCGATGTGGAAAAAAGCAAGAAGTTACGGCATAACACTGCTATGGAAGCTAAGGAGAAAGTTAATTTCCAGGAGGAGAAATAAAGTCAACAGTATTCAAATCAACAAAAACACAGATTAGTGCTTATTAATAATGAGAACATTTTTCTTTTCCCCTTTACCTTAGAAGTTTGGGACTGCACAGAGAAAGGATTGAGTGGTGCTCCAGCAGATCTTTTCCTTTTCAGCACTATAATTGGTGGTGGACTTAGCTGAACTGTCTGGATATGGAAAGTACAGAGAAAGTGACAAAAGGAAGAGTTGTTTAGTGTTTTCTTTTGCCTTGGTTAGTAACATTTTCCATTACAGAGAAAGAAGGACATCAATATTTTTGGCTGATGAAGAAAATACCTCCTGATACGAAACCCAGTCCCATAAAATTATGCTACCTGGGCAATCAGCCCATGAAGACACACACTAGATTTTTTGGGGGAGGAAACAATCTGAGAAAAAATGCCATCAGTAAGTGAAACAGTTTTCAAACTGAGGGAATTTCAATAGCTAAGCGTACCTTTATTGTACAAGTATCAGAATAACTTGTGCTGTTTTTCATGTCTGCTGAAGTAATGGTTTTGAACATACATGCCTGATTAAAGGCAAAAAGTGATCTTTCAGCACTGTTCTACTAGAGGAAAACACATTTTAACTTATTCACATATACAGATATTTTATACTTAACCTTATTGACCGCTAATAACAAAAGAAATTTTACAAAATAAACAACAAAAAAATCAGTAGCTAACTAGTATTTAAGTAAATGGAAGTCATAGTGTAATTATTATTTTCCCTAATCAATGTTCTACAAATTTGACAGCATTAAAATGCATTTCTTTAATGATACCGGGAGAGGGCGGGGGGGTTATAGTCATGGTGGGTTTTATAGCCTCAATCAGATGTCACAGAGAGGAGTAAAATAAGAAGAGCACAAAACTAAGAATAACTTTACATTGGGACATCCTACTCTTTACTGTGCTGAAAAAAACATGTTGAGCTTACGATGGTTCAACACATTCCACCTCAGTATCTCACCACTACAGCAGTTTTAACATCTACATGTGAGCAATCCTTTTGGTTTTAATAAATCTTGCTAAAAGGGCATTAGGTATTTGAGACAGTCCAACCCTGTCACAACAGCCACCCTGCACTCCTGCCTCTGAGGGAGTGTTAACCTGCTTCTCTGCAGCAAATTTTGGGAAGCAGGAGGTAGACAGAGGTTCAGGTTACATCACCTGCTGAAACACAGCTCCCTCAGCTCCTCCCATGAACCCACACGGGTCAGATGGAGACGTCCTACAGTTCCCTGGCTAAGGTGTGGTGACAAATATACAGCAAGCAATTCAGAGGCAGCCAAGTCCTCTTTCACTCCACAGTGACTAAAACCTTGAAGGCTGCATCAGCATGGGTTCCACATCATCTTAATATAAATCATCTGTATCCAGGTCAGAGAGTTAATGCATCATCAAGCAATGCAGTCATGCAATATCTGCATGGTGGAGACAACAGGCAGACAGCACACACGCACATAATGAGATGTGCTATAGATGAAGTCAGTCTTAGATTGTCTAGTTTCACCAAAAAAAAGTATTTTCTTGGTATGTTCCATGACAAATTAATGGATTAAGGCTGTTTCCAACAGATTTTATTAACATACTTACTTCAGCACTAATATCTTGAAGAATATCCCCAAGTAAATCATCCTTGGACAAGTCCACAGTTTTCTGTAAGGTAAGATTAGCCAAACAGTTATCAGTTATATGTGCAAACCCAATCAGGAGAAAAGCAGTAAATGAGTAGAGCATTTCCAAAAACACATATAATATTTTCAGAAATGCTCTATACACAAGAGATCATAATAGAAGCTTGTCTCGCTAGACACAAAAAACTAAAATGAGCCTTAGGTTTACTCCACCCCTACTACAACTGTGAACAAGTCAGAAATATTTAAATTCAAAAATGTAAGAAACTTACATCTGTGTTTTTCTTCCCAGCACTAGCCATAAACATAGACTTAATTGTGTTTGGCTTTGACACCACAGATTTTTTCACGTTCTTTTTATCAATTGCAGATGTTTTGCCACCTTTTCCTACAGAAACAAAAAATTAAAAATAGCGAATTTTACAAAGAAAAGTTCAATGTTTACAGGTCCAGTTACTAGCAGGGATAGATAGCCAAGGCAGTCTATTTCTTCTACCTTTACACTTCCGGATGTAATGAAGCCTAGTCATCTTTCAGCTTTGTAGCAGCTGTCATGCATACACAAAAAATGAAAAAATCTTCTCACCACCCTGTCTTTCTTAATCATGTCAGAGATGCCTTTTACATACTCCAGAAAAAGGGCAAAGATACTTTACATGGAAGCATCTCCAGGGAAAAAAAAAAAAAAAAAAAAAGAGTGTCCAGGAATTTGGCACTAGCCTTGGATTCTCAACATCAGACTCAGTTTCTCAGTTTGCCACAAGATTCCATTAAAAAGTTGGGAAAATCATGATCCTAGATTCTTACAAACATGCAGGTATTTTAGTGGTCAAGAGAGACCACACATCCTTTAGCCACTGGCTTTGAAAACTAAGACTCCTCCCAGGTGCATTTTTTCTAGAAGTGAATTCCCATTCCACAGAAGACTGTGAGCAGTGCCCCAGTCGTGCTGAAGCAGGTAACAGTGGTGTGACCTCAATCTGTGAACCTCCATCCTTTGCATCACCGGAGCTGAACAAAATCCACAAGCACAGAACGATAGAGCTTCAAGTAATCGGTCATTTGGCCTTATTTACCACATATACTGATGACAGGAAGTTGCCCATTTTGGGTACTTTTTAAAAGACCCTGGTAGACATTCTTCAGTGGTCACATGCAAGTTACCTTTCTTATTGGGACAAAGAGCATCATCATCCAGATCTTCATCAAAGATTTCCCTTCCATCTTCTACATAACCCATCCCATCTGTAGAAAAATTGTTTAAAAATTGCAGTTTACATTCTGTCTTCCGATATTCCTTAAGTTTTTACATATTTAAACACTTTTCCCCCTTTAATATAGAGCAAAATTTACAAAAGCAATTATTAAAAGCTACAGCACTCTCAGCTGTATCTTCTATTAGACTAAGTATATTCTTACATGTTTAATTAGAAATTATCAATAACAGTACTTTTTTTGAGAAAATTGTAACACTGATAACCAGAAAAATAAAATTTCAAGGTCTTCATGGAAAAATATTTTCATTATCATCCTAACAAACTACAATGAAAACAATGCAAAGATTCATTTCCATTAAAAGACTGCCTTTCTCTTGTCTCCTAAATCAAATTTTAAGAATGTACTGACAATAACTTACCTCAAAGCATGAACATTATGAAGCCCAATTGAGTTATAATACTAGAACCAATATAACTCTTCAAATTAATCTTAACTTACCATCATCAACAATCCAGTCATCATCCTGACGGTCTCTGACCATCTTGGAGTATTCATCCTCATCTATTTCATCATAAACACCCGTGAACTCCTCAACCTACAGTTAAGGTATATTGAGAATTAAGTTTCCATACCATCTATAATGCAGATCATCAGTTAAAATATAAAAGTTCCCAAGAATGCATGTAGAGTTCCTACATTGCTACATTGTTCACAACTAGTAAGCAGTTATTAAGTTTCTTTATTGGCAGTGATAAAAGACAAGTTATAAAGTTTTTAAATTATCACAGTATATTGAAACTCAAAATCTACTGAAGCACTGGGAGAGATTTCATTGGAAAATTACTTGCTTTATTGCTCATTTTATACTACCAAAAAAGCTTTTAAAAAAGAAAAAACCTAGCAGTGAAGAATTCTGGCCTTGGCTGTACTCTCAAACACCAATTTGAGCTCAATGAATAGGAAAGGAATTTCATGTACCCAAGCAGAGTGCTCAGAGAAAATTTGCATGTTAATGATCTACGGACTTCTGGTTTCTTTACATTTATTCACCTCAATGAGGAAGTCACTTCCTGTTGGCATCACGATTGGACAATGCTACAGTATCAATGTTACACTCTTAGATTTCAGTTCCACCACTTAAATTTTGATCACTTTGTGGAAACACAGCATACCAATATTAATGGAATTCAGTCACATAAAGCTCTGAAATTAAAGTTTAAAATCATTTGAGATTTTTAAAAAAAGTATCTCCTATCATAACATTAATTATGCAGTTTTAAAAATTGATCCTTCCCTGTGGCATAGCTCTCCAGCAACAGCAAGATTTGATTTGCAGCTAACAAAACTGTGTTAGTTTCGAAAACAGAAACAAATAAATTATATTAGAAAGCAGAAAACTCCAGCTACATTCAGAAAAACATACACTATTAAAAACACAAAAGCCAATCTGAAATTTGCTTCCCATAATTTTATATATCTATAAATGGTGATAAAGCTTCTCAGCTCACGTTCAGTTTTAATTAAGAAGATGAGGAAGTTTCACCTCATATTTTAATTTTTCCCCAGCTTTGGCTTTTTTCAGACGTTCAAGTGCTTCTTGCTGGCCTCTTCTATTCTTCCTCTCACGTCTAGAACGTGATGCTGCCAAACTTCCAGACTCACTCATAGCTGTAATTAATTAAAAACAAGAGAAATCAGTTTAACAACGAACTGTTAGCTTTGGTACTTAAATGCTCAGTGATGCATTAATAGATGAATGTTGTTTTGCTTAAAACCAAAACCTACTTGGATAAAAGCACAGTCACAGATGGCTCTTCCTAAGCCAGTTCTGGAATGACACTGAAGGCATGGCCTGACAGGGAACTCAAACAGCCCTCTCATGCCAGCTCACATTCAGGGTGAAGCTATCACCTAGATTCCCAAAGCACCTCTCAAATCTCATCAGCCTTCCCCTGTAAGAGCTCCCCCCCTCAAGCTTCCTTGGGAATTTCCAGCTCCTTTTATTTTGCATGTCTCCATGACAACTCAGGAATACCAGACTTAGAGAAGGCCTGCACTGCTACAAAGCAGTGATGTTTTTAGGCGGTTTCACAACCTTTGAGTGCGACCAGATTGAGAATACCTATTAATTTGTTGACAGCTGACACCCCTTTTCCACTTCCACTTTCTTACCTTCCAAACGTTCTCCCCAGCAAAGTGCTTTCTACTTCTCCTGACCTTTTTTCCTTCTCTTAATTTGAGAGAGGAACACTTATCTGAGCACAGGGAATAAATGGACCCAATCCAATTTCTAAAAGCAAACACACAGCCCAGGGACAAGGCTGCGGGTTCAGTGTGAGCAGCTGAATAGGCAGAAGAGACCTAGGGCTGGCCAGGGGGCCAGAGCAGTCCCCTCCTGGTGGCAGCAGGACATCAACTTGTGACTAGAGCTGAAGCATAGCTGAGACAAGTCCGGATTTGTATTACTAAAGGCTGGGGTAAAAGAGCCATTTACAGTGCCTGCTGCCCCATGGGGGACGACAGTAAAGACAGAGTGCTTTGGGCGCGTTTATCTTCCGTCAATCCTTCGTCTTTACTGTACGCCAGCTCCTGAGGCAACGCGCTCCTCTGGGACAAGCGTGTTCCCAGCCCCAGCCGGGGCCACCCGCGCCCGCCGCTGCTCCCTGGGCTGAGAGTGCTCCCACCGGAGGGGGTGACCCGAGAGAGCCACCCCACGCTGCGGGGCTGCACCGCCGGCGCGGGGCCGTGCGGCCCGAGCCCGCGCCCCGGGCGGATCCTCCGCCCGCAGGGGGCCCCGCCGGGGGGCGGCCCCGCCGAGCCGCCCATGAGGGGCGCGGGACCCTCGCGCGGCGCTGTCCGCCCCCCGCGCGCCCGCCTGCCCGCCCGCCGCGCACGCGCGCTCCCGCTCCCGGTGCGCGCGCGTTCGCCCTCGCCGCCGCCAGCACCGCTGCCCCGTCGCCCCCCCCGCCTGACAGCGAAACGCCGGCGCCTGCGAGGGACGGGGACAAGCAGGAGGACAAGCACAGGGGACCCGGCCGCCCCGCCGCCCACGGGTCTCACCGTCCCGGCCCCGAGCGCCGCTCTCGGCCATGGCGCTCGCGCCAAAGGCTCCCGAAAGTGGCGCGAGACGGGAGCCCCGCGCGCCGCCGCCGGGGCCGCATCCAATCAGCGGGCGCGGGGGCGGGGCCGCCCCGGGCGCGGAGGGAGCGCGGCCTGCGGGAATGGCCCGGCCGCGTCCCGCCCCGGCGGGGCCCCGAGCGGGAGCGGAGCTCTGGGCCGGGTGGAGCTGCTTCCTGCGAGAGGCCTGCACCGCGGGCCGCGACCCAGGCCGGGGCTGGGCCCGCCGCTGCCGCCGCGGCTTTGCAGGCATTTATATGGCGCCAGGGCCAGCCGCGTCCAGCGAGTTGCGTTTGAGGGATCTGAGCAGGGCTCCATCTGCTGCAGGGACCATAGCCCGTACGAGTCCAGTGCCGCAGTAGGGGCAAAGCCATGTTTAAAGGCTTTGTCATGAATATATCACATCTAAATGTCACGTATAAAATACATCCTCTGAGCTGGGAGGAGGCCGTGGTTGATGCCAGTTGGATAAAGGCTGGAGCCAGGCTGGAGCGTGAGGGATCACCCGCAACAACGTTCTCAGCGGGAGAGACTCAGATTTCCCACACGGTTTCCATGGATCTGTAAGCCCTGAAGGCTGAATAGTGATCGTGACAAGACTAACATATGCATATTCTTTTTGCATATTTAAAGTAGGTATGATGATCTATCATAAGTTTCAGGAACTTAAGTAAATTACTCCCTACAGTCTTTCAGAGGCATGTAGTGGCTGGCCAGCTTAGTGACAAAATTTGTTTATATGTATGTGTATGTATATATATATATATGTGTGTGTGTGTGTGTGCATATTTAATATAAATTTATTTCATATAGTTAAAATTATGTGCACATATAGTTTTATATATATATATATATAATACTGAATGTCCTCCTATTTTCCAAACACCTTTTTCTTTTCATTTTATTCTTTGCTATAAATAGGGAAAAAATAAGTTAAAAATATATATATTCAGACTGGATTTCTGATATCTCAAGAGGCCAAGTGTGGAAAGCTGTGAGAAAAGACCTGCCAGACCTTTGTCCTTGTATACCCTTGACTTGGCCAGGGTGGGGAGATGAGATGTCTTCTCTTCATTTTGATGCTACAGAGATATCTTCACTCAAATGTGTTGAGTACTTACACAACAGCCTTCAGCTGAGGAGCAACAACTGTGTCCAGAAAATGACATATTTCAATTCCAAGCATAGATGGGAGAAGGTTTTAAAAGCTTCAATTAAGACAACTGAAGCTTTACAAGTCCTCTCTTCTAAAAGAGTTCAGATCTGTCTGTGTGTGCATTCAGAAACCCAGGGAAACTGATGGGGTTCGTGCTGTTTCACTACAGATTAACCTCGATATTTTGTCCAAAAACATCAGTGCTGGCCAGTCATTACTCAAAAGATCTACCACCATCATTTGTAGAATTTTGTGGAGAAGCATTTACTGCTCGTGAAGATATGCAGGCACTGACTCCAGCTTCTTGCAAAGGCAGGTGGCACCACAGGGCTCTCTCCTTACAACTGGTATGCTGTTGCAGAAACGTGAACTATGATATTATTTGGTCTGAATACACTGATTGTTTTCAACTATCTGGAGGAGATAATTTATATCGTTCTGAAAATGAAAATTATTTTCCTTCCTTTTCCACCAGGACTCCTTTGCATTGGTAAGAGAGAAATAAAAAACCTCCCAGTCCTCCAAATTTACATAGCCAGGTGCTAGTACAACATTATCCCACTGCTAGACCTAGTCTTAGGTGGAAGCAGAAGAATGACCCCAGCCACCTGTGGCAACTCCATGGTGCTGAAAGGGGCTGCACACTCTGAAAGCCAGTGCCCACTGCCAGGGAGAATGAGCCCTCTCTCAGCAGTACCTAGTTAATAGAGCAGCTTAGCTGTGTGTCCTTGGAAACACTGACAGCCACAGGAAGAATGCCTCTCTGATCTGCTGTTCTGGTTTCCCCTATGATCAATTCATTTTCTTCCTAGTAACTGGAAGGGCTGTGTTTTGGATTCTAGAAATAATCATGCTGATAACACACCAATGTTTTGGTTGTTGCTGGACAGTGTTTGCACCGAGTCAAGGGCTTTTCAGCTTCTCACCCCACCCTGCCAGCAAGGAGGCTGCAGGGCACAAGGAGCTTGGAGGGGGCACAGCCAGGACAGCTGACCCCAGCTGATACTCCATACCATAAGATGTTGTGCCCAGTAGACTGGGGGAAATTGGCCAGAGACCACTGCTTAGGAGCTGTCTGAGCATTAGTCAGTGGATGGTGAGCAATTGCACTGTGCATCACTTACTCTGTGTATTCTAATTATTGTTGTTGTTCTTTTCTCTTCCTTTTTTCTTCTATTAAACTGTTTCTGGCTCAACTTTACTTTGGGTTTTTTCTCCCAGTTCTCTCCCACATCCCACTCAGGGGCATGTGGGAGAGTGAATGAGTGGCTGTGTCCTGTTTAGCTGCCTGCCAGGTTAAACCAACAACACTTAGACACAGCCTCTCCTTCACAGGAATGTGATACTGTTTGCTTTACTTCTTTTTTTAAACACGTGCACAATCACCAAGAGCGATGTGAGATTCAAAATCAAAAGTTATTATATTTTTAAACTACAATAAAGAAACATTTATAAAATAACACTATCTCTAAATTCTTCAGTTTGAATAAAAATAGAATGCTACTGCATTTCACATATACCTAGCCTTCACATGCTTTGGATCTTTGAATTGGCTGGATTTTAATGCTTTTGATTAAAATTAAACAGTGCTCTTTGTCAGCTGTCATGTGAACAGTGGCATGTTTGTCATTCAGGTGATGCCATGATTTGAGCCAGTACACAGTGATACAGTTAATTTCCCAAACGGAAGTTGTTGCCATAGCTCCACTGTGGGACAGTACAAATCAAACAAAAGACTTTTTCATGGATGCTAGTTCAATCCTGACATTCATCTCTGGCCATAACAAGAATACATCTGTTTCCCACAGCACAACAAGCATATTTAAATGCTGCAGGGGGAAAAATAAAAGGTGGGGGGAGCAAGGGATGGGCTTTGCTTTGGGAAGGAAAAATAACCCAGCAAGATTTGGGACTTCCTCTGCTAAAGGCTTTATCACAGCACATAGCTTTGAGCTGATCTTTAACCTCCCTTTGGACAACCATACAAGAACAACTTGGACAACCAACAAGAACAACCTTTGCTCAAGTGTCTTTTAAGAACAAGAAGTGGGAATTCTGGTGGTTCAGAGCCAGCAAGATTCCCTCGAGGCAAGTGTGATAGCTGCAGAGAAAACTGCAAGACAAGCATAGTAATGAAGATGGTAGACAGCAAAAAACACAGTACGGAAGAAGAAGCTCAGGAAACTCCCAGATTTCAACAAAAGGTGACAAAGATGTACTTTTTGTTTTGTTTTCTCAGAGCTGTAATTTAAATATGTAAGTTACTAATAGTAAATACTGTAAACTCATTGCAAGCATTCCAAGATAATATAAACGGTAGTTTACATTAGCATAGGGAAGTACAAATGGAATATAGTATCAAAACTAAGTTAAATGCACAAAATAATTACTGTACTGAAGATTATTTTTTCTTCCTTTTAATGACTAGAGCGTGCTTGATCGACTGCAAAAACAGTAGATGCTTTTGATGATGGAAAAAAATCTGTTAAAACTAAGAGTGGTGGTATAAAAACAATGCCAGTAAATCATGAATGACAGCAAGATTGCAAATTCACCTGTACGATGTCTACTTCAAAATGCTTAAACATTATTATAGTGCTGTTAAGTACAGACTGTCTTTGTGAAGAATTGTGTGTGTGTGCTACTCAAGATATGAGTGTCTATGTTCTATGTGTATGTTTCTTACAAACATACACATACAGTATTTCATTATCTTACTTTTAATCCTTACATCGACCTGAATTAATGCATATTATCATTAAATTAACTTAAAGTTTTTCCTTCTAATTTCATCCAGCTCTGACCACTTCTGCAGCTGCTTACTAAACTGTGCTATATATGTGACATTTCGACAATAATTATCTGTTTGGGGGACTAAACTCCTAAAGAAGTACAGATTGCATAAATTAAAAATAAAAGAAATCTCCAATTATTACTTTACAAGCCATCTTTGCTTTCAAAACTCTTCATATATAGTTAATTGACAGAAGTATGAAAAAATAGATGCTTCTGCTTGTGTTTATCAGTAATGATAATGCAGACATTTATGTTAAAAGGGTAAATTCCTTGCTTAACAGGCCTCTAAATGCCTTTTTTTCGCTGCACAGCTCCTTTTAATTTCCTACCTGAGTTACTTGCTAACAACAGGATGAAGAGAATAAAGTTGTTATTAGGATGTTAAGGCTCTGAAATAAAACGTGAAATAGAAAAAAGAGCACACACTAATTTCCATTACAACAGAAAAAGTCCATGAAATGAACATTCAGAGACACTTTTTTTCTTTCTTAAACAAACACAATTCAATTCTGATTGCAGTTAAATTACAGTAAATCCTAGTAACTGGACCAGAATTGGTGGAATTATGCTCACTGGAACAGAGAGCACAATCTCATCACCTGCTTGCCTAATACAATATTCCTATTCAAGCCTAGAAGGAAAGTACAAAATATTATAATGTACATTAAATAGGGAAGACAAGTGAGAGCAAACTCACAGAAAATGAGCCCTCACTTAATTATAATGTCTAAGAATTAAGTCTGATGCCAATGGTATTCAAGAGCATACAGTTATTGCCACAGCATGAAAGTCTCTGTTTTAACTACTTTCAGCACTCTCTCTTTATAATTGAACAAAAATGAACAATTAATATATAAGCAGAGAGGCTGTTACATTTCAAGACCTGGCTGAAGATCAAATGTGCTTCCATGGGTGAATACTCTCAGCATTCACTATTTCACATCCCTTTGGCAGAAAGGAGGACAGCATCATGAGATGCTGCAAAGTCTTGTTGTAATCCTCTGGTGCTGGACTGGTGCTGGGGAAGGCTGTGCTCACACTGTGGGG